AGGGGGTAGTTAGGGGCTGTGTGGGTGGGGGGGGTAGCTCAGGGTGCAGGGAGGGGGTAGTTAGGGGCTGTGTGGGTGGCGGGGTAGCTCAGGGTGTAGGGAGCGGCGAGCTAGGGTGTAACCGGGCCTTAGTGGGTCACAACTGAGGATGCCAAATTCAGGACGAACTGCTGAGAAATAGGGCAAACAGAACCCAAAACTGGTGGTTATTCGTTTATAAGATTTACCAAACCAGCCACAGAAGTAAACTCCTGGTTCACCACACTGGCTAACAAGAAAACAAACATAAAGACAGTTTCCTCAGGCATCCCAGTTCTTATATCACCACCACAACCACTAGATTCAGAGATGAGTGGTTCTTTACAACCAGTCTCATCAAATAATAGCTTCTTCTGATCCCAAACGACCAGCCACACACCCAGGTCAATATATAACTTAGATCTTACACAAAAATCACGCTGGTGCCAATCCTTTAGTACCTAAAGGTTTATTCAAAAAAAGGAAGGAAGGAAGGTTAAAGGAATCAATTACATCCAGTAATGGCAAAATTCTTGGTTCAGGCTTGTAGCCGTGATGGAATAAACTGCTGGCTTGAGTCAAGTCTCTGGAGTAGGTCCCCAGCTTGGATGGGTCATTCAGTTCTTTGTTCAGAGCTTCAGTTTGTAGCAAGTTTCAGAGTAGCAGCCGTGTTAGTCTGAATCCGCAAAAAGAACAGGAGTACTTGTGGCACCTTAGGCTGGGTCTACACTACCCCTGAATCGGCGGGTAGAAATCGACCTCTCGGGGATCGATTTATCACGTCCCATTGGGACGCGACAATTGATCCCCGAATCGACGCTCTTACTCCACCAGCGGAGGTGGGAGTAAGCGCCGTCGACAGAAAGTCGCAGAGGTCGATTTTGCCGCCGTCCCTACAGCGGGTAAGTCGGCTGCGATACGTCGAATTCAGCAACGCTATTTGCGTAGCTGAATTTGCGTATCTTAAATCGACCCCCCCCTGTAGTGTAGATGTAGCCTCAGAGACTAACAAATTTATTAGAGCATAAGCTTTCGTGGGCTACAGCCCACTTCATCGGATACATAGAATGGAACATATAGTGAGGAGATGTATATACACCTACAGAGAACATGAACAAGTGGGAGTTGTCTTACCACCTGTGAGAGGCCAATTAAGTAAGTGGAAAAAAAAACATTTGAAGTGATAATCAAGCTAGCCCAGTACAGACAGTTTGATAAGAAGTGTGAGAATACTTACAAGGGGAGATAGATTCAATGTTTGTAATGGCTCAGCCATTCCCAGTCCTTATTCAATCCGGAGTTGATTGTATCTAGTTTGCATATCAATTCCAGCTCAGCAGTCTCTCCTTGGAGTCTGTTTTTGAAGTTTTCTGTTGTAAGATAGTTTGTAGCAAGGTTCCTCCAGAGGTAAGAAGCAGGATTGAAGACAAAATGGAGAAGATGCATCTACTTTTATAGTCTTTTACCCTGGGGCCAGTGCTAGGGTTACCATCTTTTAGTTTTTAAAAAGGAGGACACTCCATGGGGACCCGGCCCCGCCCCAACCCCGCCCCTTCCCTGCCCTCAGCCCCGCCCCAACTCTGCCCCCTCCCCTGAACGCTCCGCCCCCTGCTCCTCCCCCTCCCCTGCTTCCCGCGAATCAAATGTTCGCGGGAAGCCTGAAACAGGGAGGCAGCAGGTAGGCTGGGGCGGGGTGCGGTGCGCG